AAAGTGGCCCAGGTTCAAATCCTGGCGTTGATGCCATAAATTATGTGGGTTTGTTGTTGGTTCTCTCCTTTGCTCCGAGAGGTTTTTCTCCAGGTACTCTGGTTTCCCCTCTCCTAAACACCAACATTTCCAAATTCCTATTCGACCAGGAATCAGGTAGACCAAGAACCACTTTGTGGATGTGCTACCTCCAAATCATTATTAATTTATTATTTATTATTTATTTATGTGGACATTTGGGAAGATTATTGTGGTTCACCTGTGTTTCTATGTATCATTGTAGCCTTATTAAATTATACAAAATTAAATTATACAAAGACACATCATTATCGTTATACATGTATGCTGCCATTTGAAAGAAAACACACGTTCAACACTGCCAGGGACTTTCAAAGAAATTATGTCAACTTGGGATTGACTGAATAACACAGTTGTAGTTGGATTAAGACAATCCTCTATCTAGAAGGGTCGGTGTTTAAAGCCTGGTCAAAAAACCTGATTTATTTTTGTTTTCAAGGGATAAATGTGGTGCTGCTGCTGTGGCTGGGTTCTTTCAGGTATACATTTATGTTTGCACGCCAGTGTTTAAAATTATATTACAGTTAATTTGAACCTCTGTAAGCTGCCACATTCTATGAAGCAGCCAGTAGTCCTGAAATAGAAAAGAATGGAAACTTAAACCTCTACTAAGTGGCCACAGCCACCTTTTGGCCGTCCCCATGATAGTTCTCCCGTTGTTGTCACCTCTATTAAGCAGCTGTCTAGCACTTGATAATTAGTTTGGCTTTATTTCAAGAATATGATGGTGAAAGAAAATTGATGCAGTCTGAGTTAGAAGGTGACGACCAATTGTACATGTGAAACAATTATGTTGCTCCTGTCTTGTGTTTGTTTCAAAATAAAGAGATGTTTCTGCTGAAGATTATCTTTATCTTTATCTTTATGTCGAGCTAGTTTATGACGAAGCCCCATTGAGTAGCCAACCTCTGTTAAGCGGCCACTTGCCAGTACACCAAGCGTGGCCACTTTATTGAGGTTCAGCTGTATTAATAGCATTGATACAAATAGATTAGTGCTTCTTTTAGTTATTAAGAGCTGGAAAATTGAACAATCTTTCTTCAAGCCTCTAATGGACAATTATAATTATTACAATAGCTGAGAGTAACTTAGTTCACTGAATTATTAAATCTATTAATAATGAAGCCTACATAATTTATGATAAAAAAATTAAACCAACTGTATCAAACAATTTGGGCCAGCTGTGAAAATATAAATTATAATCACTTGTAATGTCCTACACTGACAAACTGTCGACTGGGATGAAGTTATTCATGATCAAAGAGCAACATAATAATTACAGAGAGAATAAAAATGTTTATTAAGAAAAATTACATGTAACAACGTTTTGTTCAAGAAAGTTCATTATTAATTTAGTTAGTGTAAGAAAAATGTATGCTTGCTAACAGTCTAGGTTGTGCCATCGATATAGTATTCATATTCTTCTGTTGTATTGTTACTATCCAGACTCTAGCCAAACTTAAGCCAAAAGGAATTAAAGTCTTAGGGACAATGGCCATGGTGCGCAACAGTGTAGGAGCAGGTAAAATGTACTAAACTATATGAGCTGGCAGAGGGGTAGGCAATCGTTCTTCTAGAATCATACATGCTAATCTGTCGTAGCTAACTAAGAGGCTTGAGTTAGTCTGAAAACAGCTACTAAACATTAAGTTTTATGATTGACAATTATTGTAAATAACTTGACTTGAAGAAAAGATTCGAATTAACATAACAATGTAGGATGTTTGTTCTCTTGCCTGATTGAAGTTATTGAGATCATGATACCCAATCCTGATTGTCTTGTAGAGGGTTATGTTGCTGATGAGATCATCACATCTGCTGCTGGAACCAGAGTGAGGGTTGGGAACACTGATGCTGAAGGGCGTATGGCCATGGCTGATGCAATTCACCGTATGAAACAGAGGGTAACCTCCTTTTCTTGCAGATATTTTCATGTTTATTCTCAGCTTAACCCATTCGCCCCTGAACCGCGCGTAACCGCCCGTGCGGATCCACGTCCTTTCTACCCTCTGTGACGTCATCAGTTTTAAAGGTCAAGGACAACTTTGTTCAAGTGCTAACTTGTGCAGAGTGAAGAGATCTTTCAAACCATACCAGAATGAGCTCAATTCAGTCAAAGACACCTGAGAAAGAAGCAAAAAACCATGTGACATTGACCTGAAAATCTTCATGAAAATCTTGTTTCGTTGCTCACCTACCTTTCCTTTCACCTAATCCTAAGATCCTAAAAGCTTTCCTAAAAACTCTTCCCACCAAAATGAAGCCTACTAAATGCCCAGCAAGAGAGAAAAAAAATGAGGCAAGAAAAGCGAAAAAAGAGGGGAGGAGAGAAAGTGAAAAGTAAAAGTCAAGACTGCTGTGTCACTCGAAATTTTGCTTTCTGCGCATGCCCGAACTTCGCAAGCTGATATTTTGCATCTGGATCAGAAGGCCGCGAAGTGTACGACCTGTAAACCGGTTTGTGGTAAGTTTTAGCTCTTTATGGCACAACAGTGACCAGAAAACCACTCGACTTGCTTCAAAACACGTTTTTCGGCAAAATCTCCAGGAGCGAATAGGTTAAGGTTTTTATGGTATAAGTTGAAGAACTGTAATGCTTGGTGGAGGTTGAATGTCTGGGATGTCAAGGGGCTTGCACTTTTGGCACAGCGCCCATGGCTGGTTAATCCAATTGCCTCCTAGCCGTGAATCCCCAGTCTTGAGTCCCGTGACACTGACTGGTCGATCAATGGAGAAAAGTAATAAGGGACAAATAATAAAAGGAAGGGACAAACCAAAAGGATGAACCATGTCTAATGGCTACCACTGTACAACACATGGAGGGCTTTGCAAACAATTAAAATAGACTGCACCTGTCTGGGCCTATGTCACCAAACTGACCACTTATTGATAACAGAGATGATGCTCTTTGTGGTTACCGTATTAATTTTATTCGATTAACCGTCCTGGGCGCTTATTAAATTTTTGGACCTTGAGAGTGGGCGCTTATTTGAGGTGGGCACTTATTTGAGGCTGGGCGCTTATTAAATTTTCACCATTCTCAGCAGTTGTTGTAGTATATTTTGCAACAAAACAGTAAATGGTACTGACAAAAAGCGAAGATGTAGCAAGGCAAGGTTTCTGTAAAATACTCTGAGGAAAACTCCGTCTTCGGGAGGTTCTATTATTATCTCTTATTGGAGTTTTTATGGGAGGGAGTGTGGTGGGGTGGGCGCTTATTCGAGGCTGGGCGCTTATTAACTTTTTCTGCCTTTAGCATGGGCGCTTATTTCGAGGTGGGCGCTAATTCGAGGTTGGGTGCTTATTTGAATAAATACGGTAACTGGATTTGTCTCACAACATTTTGGGTTCTTTTAATTCTTCCACAGGCTCTCAATGATGACAAGGTTCCACTTAATAAGGCTCATATAGTAACCATAGCAACCCTGACTGGACATGCTGTAATTGCAATGGGTCCTGCCTACTCGGTATGTCATAAAACATTTTGTCTTCATCGTTAGATGTGTCATTGTTATCTTTGTTTATTGTAAACATTTTTGGTCTGTGAAATACAATATAGGGTGTGTTCCTTTCGGCGAATCCAAAAACGGATTTTTGATCCTAGATTTGCCAGATTTCGCAGTCGAAAGGAACGTGAAAACCGAAATTGGCTTTGTAACCTTGGTAACCTTTCGCCAACGCGTGCAATATGCACGACAGCCTCTCAAAAAATGACGTGTTTTCTACTGCTTGACAAATTATACGATTATACCGTGCAGAATTTAGTGGTCGGCAGTTCGAATAGCGACGATGGAACATATAAAACAGACAAAGAAAGAAGCGCATTAAAATTGAAAATTATCCAAAGAATGTCGGCCAGTTTGATCCAGTTCCATAGCTCGGATTTTTTTATGTAACACGATCGAGTGCCTGTCGCGTCTACAAGCGAGTTTGTAGTTAGATAGCAGTTCATTTGGAACATTACTTTTACTTATTTCTGATTTCAAGGAATCTTTGGAGACAAATGGTTAGTATATGGATATTTTAATGTACCAGGAACAATCTTCTAATGTTTTCAGATGTTTTGCGGCAAATGACAGCAACGAGGAAACTCTACGGCCTCTATGGGAATACTTCAACTGGAAATACCGCTGGATCATCTGACTAATTTCGGATCCACTGTGAATGGAACAGCGTAGATCACTAATCCGTTAATCTGGATTTGGATTCTTCGGATTTCAAATCCAATGAATCCTTTTTCAAAAACGATTCACCAGATCAAAAATCCGGATTTGGATTTGCCGAAAGGAACGCGAAATCCGCTCTTAGATCTAAAATCCGTTTTTGGATTCACCGAAAGGAACACACCCATAATGTGGGACTTACCATATGTTAAATTAAAGGTTTGGGTTTTGGTCTGACCTAGAATCAAACCTGGGCAGGACAGGAAGGTACATCACAAAGAGTTTTTTTTGGTGGTTTGAAATTAACAGGGCTTATAGAATTGGTCAGGGAAAAAAAGTCAAAATTAATTTTGAGGGATTGTGTGGGACAGATCTCTGGAAAAAATCGGCCGATTTTGCAGGATCTTCAGGGCAAACTTCACCTAAAAGCAACGGGTTAAAAATGGCTGGTTTTGTGGGAATTTTCGGGCAAATTTCCCTAGAAATCAGTCGGATTTGCGCTGATCAGACCGATGTTTTTCACGTTTTCTTAACGGATGTCATCATCTGCTCTTTCAACAACAACACACAGTTCCAGAAATGAACCAATGGCAAAGTTAAATGGCAAAGCCTTTAACATCAAGGCTAGTGCCATGCAGTTTTTTGCAACATAATCTACGCCGGTAGATTTGGGACATTGTTTGCTCGTTTCAGTGACAAAGTTTCAATATAAATTTGCAAGTTTACAGCAAGTAAACATGCAAGTAAAGTTTCAAAATATGTTGTACAAATATGTATTTGATAAGATTACTGGCGAATTTTGTGGTATTTTGCGTGTTTTGTGAGTTTTTGTGGATTTTGTGGAATTACCTGAATTTCACGACTCTGCGACCTCACGAAATATCAGAAGCCCTGAATTCACAATGTCTGTCTAATCAATTTTTATGAATTTTCCAATCTATTAAATTACTTAAAATGATAGTTTTGTTCACCTGGCCTTGTTTACATTATAATCAAACTACGTTTCTTGTTATTCTCCATTTAACTACTTTGAGTCATAACTCTAACTTACTTTCTTATTTATAATGCACATCTGCTTCCCTGAAACCATACATGTAATAACGTTATTAAATAAAGCATCCTTTTCTTTGTTTAATAGATTGTTATTGACAACGGGCCTGCGGCTAAAATGAAATTTAGTCCGAAGATCCAGGAAGGTACGTTGGGACCTTGAAAATTGATAAAAATTATTTTTGTCTTAACATCTCAGGGCTTTAAATTTAGCACCATTAAGTTGAGCCGTCCCCACTGCCAAATGCGCTTATGCTGCAGATGATGACTTTTCAATAAATTGCAATGCAAATTACCAAGCTGAATATCATTCTGAGTCTAGTTTACAACTCACACTGGCTTTGAAAAATACCTGGATCATCAACCCTTGTAACTGAGCAGGTTTTGTTGATGCCTGGCTCAAAGTGCCTGGCAGGGAACCAGAGTGGTCATGACATAATCCTCTTAAAAACTTTTTGCCCCCTTTTCAGACAAAAAGAAAATCAATAAAAAATTATTTAATTGGTGTTTGTTATATTAGAAAGCTTGTTAGTTCTCATCAAAAATTTGATCTAGTTCTTGAAATGTACTGAATTTTACCTTGAAAATGTTGATGTATTTGTTTGTTAGCTGGTCATGACATGGGTGACCCCTTTGAGGTATCAACACTCCGCAGAGAGGTAATTATATATTACTTAACAATCATGTATATGCTAATAACATGCCATATATTTTTTCTGCTACAGGAAACCATAATTTTAAATATGGTCAACTTTTACCTCTCGTACCTCTTGCTATGACAAACATCTCACTTAAAATACTAACAGCATCGAAATCTCTGGCAAAAATTATAGACGTTTCAAACTCCCATAGCCTGTGCCAGGCTCTCGGTGATTGCAGACGAGTGAATGTATGCATCTTTTTAAATTATAGCCTCAAACCGCCCTCTCTCCTGCCCACTTCCTAAAACAACTGTTTTTTTTCTTGTCAAAATGTCACAACGTTAAAAGGTGAGGTGTTAAGGTGGCTCCTCTAGATTTTTAAGGGGGATACCTCCCAAGTTTGAGCATTAAGTACGTCGGCATGAGTAAAAATATGGGGAAAAGGTTACCACATCTGTATTATTATAATATATAGATTTAGCCAGGGCTAAAAGCGAAGCTCTCGATAATATTTATAGTTTGTTCAAACAAAATATAAAATCATGTAATGCTAAGCGGCAAAGGCAACGCCGGAGGATGGTGAAAAACAACAATAGGTCTAATTTGATCATTTTTGATTATTTATTTGCCGTTGTTTTGCCCGACTACAACGTGAAACTTCCAGAAACTTCTTAGTTACATTTTTATGGAGGAAATGTTGTACGTGTTCTTGTTCACTTTTTTTTCACTGCCGCTCATTTTCACCTTGCATTGGTGGCCACTAGCATTTCCCATTTTGTCACCGCGGCTACAAAATTTTCATGTTGTTTTTCCAACAAAAAATGTCTTCTTTGATTATTTATCTGTCACTCTAGACCTCTGTCGCCCTTTTTCTCGTTAAGCTTTGGTGGCCTGCAGCCTACTTTCTCTTTTTCTCTGTCTTTCTCCTGCTCTATATTCCAACTTTGTAGACGACATTATTAAAATTTAAGACTACACGGATACAGAAATAATTTCCTCTTTCCGTTTTCGTCTTTATTGACTCTTGAGTTGTCTCTTCTTTACAAGACGCCGGTGGCTATGCGATTTCCTGCCAAAATAACCTCGAGTTGTATTTGGGTTGCCATACCTGTTGATTGAGTTATTTTACATTGGTATGCCTGTGGTGTGGATGGACGGTCGCTCAGGCGGTCGGTCGGTGTATGGTCATGTGATCACCAAATTTTCTTGGATGGGTAGATTACTTCATTTTCTCACCCATGGTGCTCCGCTATAAAGATGAAAATTTCTTTTGATCTGGGTTTTATTGCAATCAGAGTCGCCATGGCAACGTATACGACGCCATGACATTTTTTATTTATCTTTGTGTTTCTCTGTACCAGGAGTTTTTTTATTTAAGAAATTGCTTAAGGGAGTATGTGCCTGCCATAATTGCCTCAATTATGGCAAAGTTTGAACAAATTCTGTGAGAGCACTTTTGAAATATTTTGAAATGAAGTTTTGAGAATAATAAAAATAGAGAAATACCATGCTATCCACACAACCAGGGAATATTTTAAGAAAATGATAAGCTTTGGAAATGCGGCTTCATCTCATAGTGGTTTGATTCTATTGAAAACTGCATACAAATTTATGCAAATTTATTTTTTTGGCTAGTTGTGCATGTGCATAAATTATGAGACTTGAAAACAATGCCATTGAATAATGAGGACGCTCACTATTGAAAACACAAAATCTGGTGGGAAAATTGGTTGTATTTGAGGCCCTATTTAAAAGCCTTCCTTGTTTTCAATGTTCTTGAAACTTGCAGGGTATTTGTATCACATGGTTTTTTGAAAAATGCGAAATTTGTAGGCATGGACCAAATTACATTCAAAAACTGCAACAAAAGCAGCTGAATACAAGTTGGTAAAATTCTTCTTACTCGCAATCGCCCACAGCAATTCCCCTCTTTTTTCTTTTTTCATTGGAATCAAACCACTATGAGATGATGCTGCATTTCCAAAGCTTATCATTTTCTTAAAATGTTACCTAATTGTGTGGACAGCATACTATTTCACTATTTTTATGATTCTTTTAAAAAAACTTCATTTTAAAATATTTTGAAAATGGTCACATAGAATTTGTTCAAACTTTGCCATGATTGAGGCAATTATGGCAGATTCATACTCCCTTAAGCGATTTCTTTAAAAAACGCCTGGTACAGTAACAGAGAAACTCAAAGATAAGTAAAAAACGTTATGGCATCGTTATGTTGCCATGGCGACTCCAATTGCAATAAAACCCAGATTATAAGAAATTGTCATCTTTATATAATACAGTTTTGATAACCTTTTTCCCATATCTTTACTCATGCTGATAAAGTTAATGCTCAAACTTGGGAGGTATCCCCCCAAAAACATCCAGTCAAGCCACCTTAAGGAGGGTTTCACGTGCTCAACATGTTTTTTAGACTCTTGTGTAATATAAAGTGTAACCCAATCATAGGGCATACCAGGAGTTGGTATACTTGAATGAGGTATTGAAAACAATGTTTGCAGGCTCCACTTTTCCATCTCTCCCCAGCCCCCACAGTTCTCAATCCCCTATCCTTGGAGCCTGCTGGAACAGGCATTACGAACTTACAAACAGGTGTTTTGGTCTAATGTTGTACAGCAAAACCCCGTTAATGGACACTGAGTTTGTCATAGAAGTGTCTGCATTAAGCGAGTTGAATTTACAGAAAATGTCAAAGGACTGTCTTCCCTAGGGACTAAACAAACTGTCCTTAATAATGAGGTGTCCGTATAAGGTGGGTGTCCATAAAGTGGGGGTTTGACTGTTATAATAAAAAAAATTCTAATGAACCTGTAAAGCTTGTCATCTTTGATCATTTAGACAGCAGCAGCATTGTCACATCTGCTTTCCTCATTCTGCTTGATGAGCAATTGAAATAATTAATTTTGTTGACCATTTTTTTAGGACTATGAGTTTACAAATGCCAAGTCAGAATATGCAGATGTGTTGCAGTGTAACAATAAACCATCCAGTCAGACTCCACGTGGGCATCAGTTTCCTGCCGCCTTCCTTATAAGAGCATCTGGATTGGACAAGGTTATTAAAGCATTTTAACTGTACTTGATGAATAGTGTAATAATGGAGTGCCAAATGAAAGTGTTTCAGGCTACTTTGCAAGACATGCTGACCCTCCAAGGGCTAGTTAGCCTCCCATGCAGACTTGTTTGGGGCTCTGTCACACATTTTTAAAATTCCTGAGGCCCAAAGAAAGTCTGGGGTGGGGTGAGGGTATGGATATTTTCAGCTACCACACAGTCAAATAAGCACCTTAACTCAAGTTAGTGCCCCCTTGATCCTGGGTGCTAAAAGGAGCTTGCTGTTTAATGTTTTTTTTACTTTCCTAAATTGTGGCAGAGGGTGGAAAGACAACTTTAAGCTTAGCTTACTACCGTGTTGATGGGGTTTTAGAGGCAAAGAAAACCCCACTGTCCTACATACAGGTAATGTTTTACATGCCCGGAATGTCATTCACCATAATTAATGAAAACAAGATTTAAAGTCCCCTGAGTATAATGTGTTTCTGGGGGAAATCTCCCCCCTCCCCCTTCCCCCAACCCCAAAGAAGGCCTGCTACTTAGGCTAAATTTACAGCTGTAAGCTGCTTCACCTTGCAAACAATCTTAGAAAAATAGGCCAGAGGGACAGTAGCCATAACTGAAATATGAAATATTTAATTTATCATTTGTAGCATGGTATTGACTCCACCAAACCCATTCGCTACTCCCATTTTGACATTGCTGGATCAAGTGGTGGTTTTCCTTTCGTCCCAACTGGAGCTCCAGTGGTTGCCATGGTTTCGCACTTCTTGAAAGACCATTGCTAAACAAAGGGTCCTTTGAAGTAACTGAATTCACTTTAAAATAATTATTAAAGAGGCCACTGGGTACTATAAAAAGCTTTTTGCAGCTGTAGGTGTTTCTTCTTCTTTTTTTTGGTAATAAAGGCAAGGAGTTTCGTCAGATTACACGTAAGGGTAGTTTTGTTAAGATTACATTGATATTCAGAGAGTAGATGAATAAGATGGGCTAACTTTTTATAATAGGTATTTTCTGTCGAATTGAATAGATTATTTATGACAATGACACAAAAATTTTGCACTTAAGAAAAGAACAATGAAAAAGGTGTAATAAAAATTATATAGGTGACAGGAGTTTGGTAATAATTGTAGAACATTTTTTTGATTATTCTTTCTATTAATAAACAGGGCTTGGCTCCTAAATAATGCTTCCATGAGCTTTTGCAGATTAAGTACAGGTCACAAGACTGAACAAAATAATAAGGTGTACTATAGGTATGTTTATTGTTATTGTGAGCAATTCTACATTGTATGACTGTAGTCAAGTGGCAATTAGAAAATAAAGGAATGAATTTTAAAAAATAATAATTTTTTGTGTTCTCATAATTTACTACATTCACTTATTTTGTTACCCATATCAGATTACGTGGTGGTAATTAAAGACTTATCAGATTTTTTCAACTTCAAAACAGAATAAAAGCTATGACAAGAACACATTGGTTATTGACAACTATAGACTTCTAAAACAAGAAAAGTCGAATTACTACATTCATAACATTGCAGTAAGTAGCTAAACTAAGATATACAAGGGTACATTAGCATTACATCCTGGTCATAACCAATCGTACCAGATTGCATAGGCCTTTTTAATTTACTGTTGTACAAGAATGGATTGGCCTGTGATTATCCAGAAAAGTTTTGAAACAAGGTGACTATAAAACATACTTTAATTCACTACACACAAAACTCTAACTCTTTCCTGGAACACAACAAAACAAGAACTATGGATATAGTAAAACCAACATAATTTCAGCAGACACCCATGGGAGTTTTACTAGTACTGTTCAATGCAGAAAATATGGGAACAAACATTTGGAGGTCATTGAGTCAGGTGCTATAGTCTGCTTTATAGTGAGGTTGCCTCCTTAACGCAGGTTTCACTGTACAAAATAATAGATTGGACTGTATTGATGAAGGGTCTTATTTACGTACTTATGACAGTGATTTTAATGCACACTCTTTCTGAATGCAGAGGATTTGAAGAGTCTTCTGTCTTAATTCACAGTTTGTTTCTTGATTTTCCCCCCAAAATTACTGACTTGCAAAATGCCTACGGTAATGAGTTAGTTATCTGATGTTTCAAAAAGGGGTCTGGATTACATACTCTCTGCGACAATCCATGAAGAGCAGTGCTCAGTACTGTTATTAAGATAATTATTATAATCACTTAATAGCCCTTTTTACTGGACTGTGTTTGAAATGCAGCCTATTTCATCAATTTCACATTCAACTACGTCACACCTCTGAAAGTAAATAAACAAACAAAATAATATTAATGTTATTAGTGTGTTTGACTTGGTAGAGTGCACTTCAGATTCAGATTGAAGTAAAACTGTGTTAGATTGAACAGATTTTGGGACACATGTCTGGTTGATTTTGCAGGGGTGAATGTCATCATAACTAGCTTATCAAAAGAGAGAAATTCCCTAGTCTTTGTTTAACATGTTAAGTTATAATCCTGTTTTTATTTGAACAATCTGACTCCTGTTCTTCATAGCTGTATGTACGACAGCTGTTAAAAAGCAAGCTAAAAAAAAGATACAAGAGAAAGAATACATACCTTGAGAAAGACGGGGGGCTTTCTAAAAACTCCAACCCCTGTAATAACTACATCACCTGGTGACAGGGTAACAAACCTGCAGGATCAACAGAACATGCTGGTACTCTATCACCGTTTACAGTTACAGTGCAACCCCGTCAATACAGTCACCAATGGGCCAAAAAGATTTAGCCGTATTAACGGGGGTTTCTTCATAAGAAAATGTATGGCAGTTTTTTACCAGGCGGCCCAAAAAAACCCGCCGTGATAACGAGGTGACCATACAGTACTACCGAGGTGGCTGTAAGGTGGGGTTTCACTGTATTTTCAAAGGGAGGTCAATAGGGAGGCACAGAGCATTCACAAGGGGACAGGGGTGGGAGGGCAAAAGGGGGTCACATTAATACAATTAATATTGTAATAATTTACCCAAATCACCAGAAGATGCTAAAATAAACGTGATTCCCAGAATTTACTCCACAACATTTCTATTGAAACAATATTAAAGCTTTCAGTCATCAGTTTTTAATTTTAATGAGGTATTAAGTGCCAATAAATTTTGATAAAAACCATTTAAGATGGTTAAGGTTTTCAACATTTAAGTGTGTGATGAACAATCATCTTTCACAAAAAACTGTTTGAAGTAAATTTTAGCACAAGTTAATATATAGATTTAGCCACAGCTCAAAGTGAAGCTCTCTTTAATATTGATAGTTTGCTCAAAGAAAATATAAAATCGAGTAATATTATAGACAAGGTGAAAACAACGAGAACGGTAAAAAAAAACAACAGGTAGATCTGATTATAAGCAAAAAACAAACTTTCCACATTCAGCACACTTTTATTTCCAATTAACTTTGCATGTGCAGTACACTCTTATCGCTGCTATATAATTTTCATGTTTTTCTTCTAACGAAGATGATTGGTCTCCATTATTTATTTCTCACTCTAGCTCTTTCCCTGTTATCCAAGTTAATGTAGACATTAAAATTTAGTGGAAAGAAAGACTCGTTTTTTAGAAAAAAAAGTCCGTGCGACCATGTAATTTACTGCCAAAATGAGTGGGGTGCTTGAAATGCAAAAAATTCACCTCAGCTACAACATACTCCTCCCCCTACAGGCTGACTCCTTACTTCCCCTCCCCCTCCCCCAGAGTCTGTACGGTCAGTGTTCGGTCGTATGCTGATGTCATAACAAAATTTTCTCAGATGGATAGATTACCAAATTTTCTTAACTATGGGGCTTCACTCGTGCGGCGCTCCAATATTAAGTTTTGTGGGTGTTGGTCAGAGATTTTCAGCACTTCTAAACAAAGAAGAGCAATTTCTAACCACCCTCATTTTCACGTATGAAAGCAAATGAAAACCTTGTCTGTCTTTTCAACCTGTGTAGACCAATAAAAATTTCCTGTGATAAGGCTTGATGAACTCTCACCTTGATATACAAGAAACTAATGCCTCTGTTTTAAATACTAAATTCTCAGTGTTTGAGTCTTGCATGACTTTTCCATTGACACGACAACGAATTCCCAGTTTGTGAGGATCTGAAAAATAAAAATGCACTGTCAGGACAAACACCACATCGTAATACATTGTTAGTACTGGAATTTAACTTTGAAGTCTTAATTTATTCTAATATGTACTACACTATCATATAATGGAGATAACCTAAAGTACCGGTAAAAAGTTAATTCAGTCTTTTGGGGCTGCATTATTTGAGGTTTACCTTTGCATTAGTGGCAGGGGTATTATACAGAACGCCGAATGTAGAATGCAGGCCAAATGACTCTGAGTTTAGTGATTAGGGTTTCTAAGGAAACTGAGTGAATCAGGTTCCACTTAGGAACATTATGCTGAGAAAACTGACCTGAAACTTGATTCACACAGTTTCCTAACCCTAATCACTAAACTCCAGAGTCATTCGGCATTCTGCATTCTCCTAACGCCCAAAGCAGAACACAGAATGACTCTGAACTTTAGTGATTAAGGTTAGGAAATTGAGTGAATCAGGTTCCATTTAGGGACATTAAAATGGGAAAACTGACCTAAAACTTGATTCACTCAGCTTCCTAACCCTAATCACTAACCTTTAGAGTCATTTGCTGTTCTGCATTCAGTGTTTGGCGTTCTTACGGTATTGCAGTATTGGGTACCCCCCAATGTCCCCTTCATATAACATAGTAGGTCAAAGAGACAAACACACTATTTTGCAGTTTAGTTTGGCCTACCCCTGGTGAATCCAAAAGTGACAATAAAGTGGAGTTACCCACTGCACTTCAGTTCCCAGCTGCGTCCAGAACACGAAAACTAAATTCTTACTAATTTATTGCTCTCTTCATGTCCAACCTGCTTAGTTTGTTATAAAATTATTATCTTTCTCCGCTTTCCCAGCTCTAACCATCCTCTTTTCTCATCTTCTTGTCACACTTATTACTTGACAATGAGTCTTTGGTGACTATGGCTGGACCAAGTGGACAAGATGAGTCAAACGTTTTTCCTAACAACCACTGTCCACCATTTTTCTTTAGCTGCCAATCCCGAGCACTAACATCATGTGCCACAGTATACCCAGCCACATAGTCCATGGCTTCACTTTCCTGACAAATATAATCAAGGTTTTAGACACAGAATAAAGGAGTTTATAATGTTTAAAATATGGGTAAACAACAATCACCTTTGACCTCTTAAAGCAGCTACAATATGTCATGACGACAATTCTGAGCTGAATATTGTCATGACGACAATTCTGAGCTGAAAAATTTCAGGAATGTTGATTGTGTGGTGACCAATCAAAATAATTGAGCAAACCTCAAAACCACAAATTAATTACCGTTGCTGTTTGGGTTTAAAATTGGCTATTTTTAACATTCCCAGTAAAAGTGCCTTTTTACCCATACACAAAATGCTGCTGTTATAGAGTTATGAAGTATTAATTATATCAATCTGAGAAGAGAGTTGAAAATACCACGCATAGCCGAGTATTTCTGATGAACTTCAAGGTGTTTCATCTGGTGACGAAACAGTGTGTCGAATGCTTGATATTACTTCTCAAACAAAATGATTTTACAAGGAGAAATTAAGGATGAAAAAATGAGCAGTTTTTCATCTGATTTCCAAATACTTATAAACATTGATTTCCTTTGTATTTTCTTTATGAATTATTAATGAGTTTGAGAAGTAGATATCAAAAACATTTTATCATGGAGCAGTAACCATAATTTGCTGATTTTTGAAGGCATAACATTAAAACTTGAAAACGTTGGCTCAAGTTTTTCAAGTTTCAATCCAAGTCCATCCTTGTCATCCTTTGCAACAGATGACAGAAAACAGTTTCAGTGCCTAAATAAATTAAGTCTTGAATAACTGAACTAGGCCATTATTTTGCTTTCACTTTTTCCTGAAGAAATGTACCTGTCAGCTACAATTATCCGCGACAAAATGAGTTGAGACGCTTCGCCCTAAACTGGGCTTCTTTACCTTTTACTGACTTTAAAAGGAGGAAATATCCCCTCTATACAATGTTGTGTCGATGTTCGAGCAACCTATAGAAAACAACAAACACCCCAACCTTGAATGGAGGGGACAGGGGAGGGGTGTGGATTCTTTTGTTCTCTAAAGTTATCCCATTTGAGTAGAATGTCTCCACAATTTTGTCGTCGATTGTAGATATGCTGACAGAGATTAAAGAATTACAAAAATCCCTCCCAGAGAAAGAAGCAAAATTAGTATACATGGCTGGTATTTTACATGACTGATCTACATGATTTAAAACCACAAGTAAATCAACTATATACAACTGTAATTGCCTTCAACAAAATACCTTAATATTCTTTGCAGGTTTCCCAATTACAAAAGCAAGTTCCACTTCAAAGTCTAATTCCTGTGAGAAAAAATCAAATTATAATATACTTGAAATTACACAGAATTAATAATTTAATTACAGAGAGTTGATTGTGGCATAATGAAAACTTTGAAACATCATCACTCTTTTATTGACATGAACATGTTTGTACTTAATTTTTTATCTCAGGTAATTTTTCTTTTTCTTTTGTTTGGTAATGTATGCTAATGAAGTTGAAACAAAAGAAAAATAAAATAACCTAAGATAAAAAAAATTGCTACAACAAGTGATTTTAGGTTGACGTTTGTTACTAATGAATTAATATAACTAAATTATAACTTCTCATTTTGAAATAATTGAAGAAGGTGTGGTTTTCCATTAATAGCTAAGGTCAGTTTTATGAGGAGGCATTTATTTGAAAGTTGGTCAAATGCGACAAAAGGATTTTTTAACCATGACATTTTTGTTTCTCGTATTAAACTACAGAATTAGTATCTTTTGATTTCAATAATTAAAATCAGTGATGTATCATAAAAAGTGACTGACTCAACGGCCCTCATTTGGGGACAGCACTTGTTAATTACCTCTTTGTCCAAAATGAGGCAGTTAATTGAGTGAATACTGGATGTAAGCTTTCATTATGACTTATGATTTCATCATCATGACTTTAAGTTTGACATAGTATGTTGTCAAGCATTACTTCAGGTAAAAGCAAATCTCTGTAAATGCAATAACTTGGGTGGTTATTTTCTACACAGATACCAAAAGACTAGATCAAGAACTAATGAAGTTTCTAGTACAGAAAGGAAAAATTCCATATGCCTGGCAAGAGGCTTTGATATTAACTTCTGCTGTAAGCATTATATATGTATCAACATACATCTTATTCGCCCAAATGAAGAGCTGTTTTGTGAAAACGTCCATGCAGATACTGGGTGTTGTTAAATCTTATTTATAAATTTATCAAAGGAACAGTGCTCCAGGCATGGAAAGGCTCAGTAGTTAAAACCCTTATAGATGGAGGATTTCAAGTGTAAGCAAGAAAGAAAGCTGACTGTATAAAAATGATATCAATTTTGACAAATTTATAATATTTTTGATCGAGTAAGACTTGCGAAGTTGAAAGTCTAAATTTTTTAATAAGTTGTTTTCCCTCAACAAAACATTAATTAGAAAGCAAAAACAAAACATATTTGGCATTTTACCGATCCTTATTTGATCGGTTTGCGTAGGAAAGGTTCTTCTATATGTTCATCTCCGTCTTGTTTTTCAATTTGACAGGATCAGCTCTCTGAGCGGCAACTTTTACCTAAGTAGCCTTGTACATTTTAGTGCTCTGTGGACTGATATTGCAGCTGGGATAACTGCCTTTTATAATTAGAGTTTTATACGGAATATCTATATTCTATTTCGATCTCATCCGCAGGGGCTTCTCGGTTTTGAAAACGAGTAGACCCTAGGGACGAGTTTGTAGGTAGTTATTAGCAATCTTAACCAAAGACATTTTTGAGTGACGCACGCCAACCGGAAGTGGACCTTCCTCATTCTTCGATGATGGTTTTGCCAAAATTTTCAGGCAAATCGTCTTTTTAGACTAAAGACTCTTAGCAAAACAAATATGGCAGCTTTAAGGCATATTAAGGCTCACTTTCGGTTAACGCACGTCGCTCAATAACACCTGAACTTGAACCCCCTTATGAAATGGGAAGACAAACATGAGTGAATCTTAAAAATAATTCATTGACCCTTGAAATCGTTAGATAGCATTCTCCCAGCGGTGCAAAAGATCTGGATGGAAATAACTGACAAGTGACTTTTGCAGGAATCGTATTAAAGTTGGAGCAACTTTTTCAAGTTTCAATCCATTTCTATCCTTGCCATTCATAGAAACACACAAAAAAAATAGTCTTAATAATTTTTGGAATTCAATTAGTACGGAGACACGTTTTAGCTTAAAAGATAGCAAAGAGCGCGATTTAATCCCTTAAAATATTTTTGCTGTGTCTGTTTACATTATTTTGAAGCTAAATCCAAACGAGATGACATTTGTTCTGGGTGGTGAGATGGCCATGTGGACTGATGATTACTGCTTTGTAGATCAGTGCTTTCTGTACAAACGAGGAAAACCTGACGCATGGTGGATGTTTGGACCTGAGAGCGATTCACAGTTTACTGAGTCAGTGAGCGGAATTGTAAGTATCTCTGGTCGTAAATAAAGTAAATTTCCTCTTATGAGTGCCCCCCCTCCCCACTGAGTTACAGGCCCATGTACCTGTAAACAAAACAATACATCTGCGGTTTTAAGTCCCCCTCCCCCCCGCCCCCAATTATAATTTCCCCCAGTTACAGGCCCATTTACCTGTAAACAACAAAAAATACATCCAGAAAATTAGCCCCCCCCCCCCTACGGATATAAGCCCCCCTCCCCCACTTATAAGTTCCCCCAGTTACAGACCCATTTTACTTGTAACCAAACAAAAAATAGTTACATCCAGTTATTAGGCCCCCTCCCCCACTTAGAAGTTCCCCCAGTTACAGGCCCATTTGCAAACAAAGAATAATACATCCGGTTATTAGCCCCCCCCCCCCCCCCCACGGATAAAAGCCCCCACCTCCCCCGACTTATTAGTTCCAGGCATTAAAATGCTATAAAGGGCCTTTGGAACAAACTATCTCAACTAATTTTGTCAGTCAGTTGTCGATAAAATGAACAGAAAACGGTGCACAATGCTGTTTGCAATTAAGTGTCCACCAGACTTCTGGATTTTACCACCTAATGAAAACTAAAACGAGAGATTTGAAGAGTTAATTCCATGTATTATTATTCCGGAATGCAGTTAATCGAGCTTGCTATTAAGAGAGCCAGCGCGGCAAACCTGGCAAGCCCATCCCTTAGAATCAGGCCCTGATAGAGAAGGTCTTTAATAGGTTTTTCGGGATGCGGGATTTCTCTTATTTGAAGACCGGGACTCGGGATTTTGAAGCGAAAAGGGGGCGAGATTCGGGATTGAAAAATATATGCTCGGGACGCAGGATAACCATCGGGATTGCGCGAAAATATAGGTCGGGATGACCTCATTAACGTATTATACTGGGACACTCCGATATATACTTAATGAACTTTCAGATTTGGCCCAGTGCCATTGTTGGAGCTGGTTCATTTTGGAATTATCAGTCAAAACTAACTCCTGATAGCAAAGAGTTCGCGATGATGATAGATACTCAGCACAAGGTAAGCCGTTATGTTAGATTTATTGAGCAACTAATAATTGTCCTGACCTGACTGACCAAACGTATTGTCTACCTTCTTTTAACCAGGCTACTTCCCCACACCCATCTACCGGTGAGGGATTTAATCAAGGACTAGCTACATCATGTTTCTGCCTCTGGAATTTTTTTGCTAAATTTTTGAAGTTTGTCTTTCCCATCCATGTTTATATCCTCAGCGTATCCTCAACCATCCTTAATTCATTATAGTGACCAATAACTCGGTACATGAATTTTTTGCTTTCCTTGCAAGTCCGTTTGCAAGATATCTTTTTTGAGATAAATTAATATACATAATATTTGTAAATAAAAATAGTACACATTTTACTTACTGCGTGCCTTCTCATTGGCTAAGAGCCTACAGTTAATGTTATTTGAAAATCAGGGCAACCTACAGATTAGTTAATTTTCTGTTAGCAGATAACTGACTTGTCTGCAGTTTGCGCGTGCAATGCATGATTTCCAAGAGCAGTGTCAAACTATGTTCCGTGCGACGGTGTGTTGTGATTTTCATCAAAACAGTGTGTGATTAGCTTAGCTTTTTGTGATATCTGGAATAATCAAGGTCTCCGTAAGTGTTATCAGCTAGCGTCAGCCTTCGGCTCGGCTGGTAACACCTAGACCTTTTATTATTCTGGATATCACAAAATCTGATTCAATAGGTGTTCAATATAGGCACTGGTTAATATGACCATGTTTGGATTAAAATTTGCAGTATTGCATGCTTCACGATTGACCAGGTGTGTACTTAAACTTGACTTTGCCCATGCCTGGAGAGGAAAATCTATAAATGTCTACAATCGCACCCAGTCACTATTTATGCGTTTTTGGGATGAGAGAAGATTGGAGATTGGAGAGAAGATTGAGGCGCGCGGGGATAAATAAATAGCGACTGGGTACGAGTCTGAAGTAATTGACCGAAAATTTCCAATCCTCACTTCCGCTTAATATTTACTTCCGTTTTTCTGGGTTTCACCCCTCTCTCCTCCTCTTATATTAACGCCACGGTTCGAATACCCGTTACCCGGGTTTGATGAATATGCACAAAAGTTTCCTTTACTGTTTCAAAGGTACATCCCTTGATGTCGAAAATTGGTTTGAACACGTTTTTGTTTCACTGAATCATTTGGCTGCCAAGAGACCCGTGACACAGTTGTGGGTCACTACCATGGTACTCTTTGAAAATATAATGGAATGAGTTTTTGGTGCCTTTATGCTTCTTATGACGGTGTATGGGGAAACGAGGTCAAATGGGTTTCATCAAACGTCTGCTTGAAAGTTGGGATTCTTGCTTGAAAACCGATTTACCTAGCGGAATAATTTGATGACAGAATCAGAAACTTGCCTTAAAATATGTGAAAAACGTCCTAGAATCGAAAATGTTTAGCACCTTTGAGGGGGAGTGGTTTGTTAATCAAATATTGGCTATTCCAATTCAAGGAGAAGTTGTTTTAAAATGGTTTAAGGCATCGAAGAGATCAACAATCACAGGGAACATCTCGTTTTCTTCAGGTTTAATACAACATTACTTGTCTTAAGGTAACATCAGAAACTAAACATTGTATCGTGCTACGTGTTGGGATCAAGTAGAAGCAGTTCAACAAGCCGACCTATAAGTCACCCCATGTAAGAGAATCCAAGATAGCCTGGGATTCTGGATTCCACGTCACGGATTCCGGATTACAGGTACTCGATTCCAGGCTTTGTCAGTGGAACTTGGCTTCTCAATTCCAATTGCTAGTGGGAGTCTGGATTCTTTGAGCTGTACTCCGGACTCCAAAACCCAGGATTCCAGATTCCACATGCAAATTTTTCACAGATTCCGGATTCCGTTACATGGGGCGTTATAAGGGATGAACCATTAGGAAAGTAAAGGGGCTGGGTGGGATTTTTGGGAGGTCTATGAAAGTTTTCTCTCAATCCCTGAGGTGGAAGTCTCTTTTTCCTCCTCATACAGCTTTTTTGATCACGGTGCGTGTGGAGACTTTTTTCTTACCAATGCGTTTGCCTCCCCCCAACCTCCTATCCTTTTTTTCTAATGGTGGCATCCCTAAATTAAAGCAGCTTCTTTAAATAACTGTGGGATGGCTAACGGGTCAATGGCCTAGCGAGAAAAGCAATCTAGAGGCGGCAAAAATAGGTCAGATCCTCGATAGAATGATGATAGCTTGAACGATTGCTGTGATTTCCTAGCGCCAAACCTCAGAACGTTCTTACGTGTTCTGGAACTGATCTATTTGATAAAAAGCCCAACTTTTACAACCTAGCACAAATACAACAAAACATCATTAAGTTATTGGAGCGTTCAAAATCTTAATCTAATCTCATCCACTGTTTGGATACTTTAAAGTTGACATCAATTAAAGCTGTTGGACCACTAATGCAATAGAACACCAAAACGTCCTTTATGATTGAAATGACTCGCAGTAATTAAGAGTTAAACCTAGTTTAATGGCAGAACAAATAGTCTACGAGTGCAGAGACAGAGGCGGACTCAGCTCTACAAGGAAGTGGTGGTGAGAAAATAAAGAAGGAAAATAAATCTTTTTTTTGGATGAAAATTGGATTTCGGGCCCTTTTGTTTGTTTGTTTGCAGGCAGGAAGGACTATCTGGCAACGCTTTTCCTAAGAAAGGGTTATTAAAATAAGGCAAAAGTCACTCTAATGATTCTCAGACGGTCCAATTCGCCAGCGGTCACTCGCTCCTTTCTCTGCGCAGGCTATTCAACGTATCGTCCAAAACTTACTGTTAAAACTACGAGCATATTCATTCCCAAACGTGGAAGGCAAAATGTTTTACTCTTTGTATGAAACGCTTATAATTTATCCAGATAAGTTAAACTCGTCTCTGAAATCCCATTTTACTTGAATTTAAAAACAGTTTTAATCAAGTGACACAATGTGTGTCCCAATATATAACATATAATTATGAAATGAAGACTGGAGACTGCTCTCGGTGCAAAACATTGTTTTCACCATGCAAATGGGAACGTGACAACAATAGTCCGATTGACAAATGCATATGAAATAAATCATATGTGAGAACTGCGGGAATAAAATCAAATGAAGAATGATCCTTACAGTTGTGAACGCAATTTATGCGACGATAAAACATCAGCACCTGACGTTTTCAGTAGCTGTTCCTTTCTCCCTCGCGCACTTTTTGAGACAAGTTTAAAGATGGTCAATTACTATGGTTACGACATATGACGTCATAAGTAACAGGTTGTCAAGCCATTTTCGAGTGAAAATGCATGTTCTTTCAACTTTTTTTAACAATAAAAGTAAAACTTGTCAATGAAATGATGCAAAGGGCTTATTTATGTGTTATTTTACATCTGAAGCACAAAAGTTACCATTTATCGCGATTTTAACCTGATTTCTAATTCTTGGTGAAATCCAAGATGGTGACCATTGTTGGGGACGTCACAGGCCTCCAGCAGCGCCACCACCCATTAAAAATAAACCTCATCTTGTTGAGTAGATCAAAGGCTTTCCACCGAAGGCAAAATCGTTTTGAAATACTGCAAATTATCAAAAACTCTGGGGAGGGGTTCCATCCGCCCCTCCCCCTTATACCACGGTTGGGGTATGAATTTGCGTGTATGTCCGAGGGTTAACCCCATTAAATTAATTTGAATCATTTGTTTCAGTCATCTGCTTTAAAGCCGAGGGGAAAAACTGAAAAGGAATTATTAAGATTGTGATGACGGAGATTATTATTATCATCAATATTGAGATTATTACAATGCAATTTTCCTTTTGCCAAATTACAATTTGCCGGTTAAGGCACGTTACACGAGAAAAGGGGCAATCATCCATACTACTACTCATTCAGTTTCTCGGGAGTAAAGAAATAATCGTAAACAGCAATAAGTTCTTTCCCCATGAAAATTGTTTGTCTTTTTCTTAAATTAAAATTGATAAGTGTAGCCTTGGCTAATTTAAAAACGTTTTTTTGATGTTATCAGAGAGATTAAGAGTTAAGTTTACGGCAATCCGTGGATTTGTACCACGTGACCAAGTGTTCCCTTTACTTCTCTTTTGCTGTTAATTAAATCTGCAAAAAATGATTAGTTTCAAGTTGGTTTTATCCATAACAACTGCTTTGAGCTGTTTTCATTTTATCTGCGTATTTTCTATTATAAGAAATTCTCAACTTGAATCTGCAGACGTAAGTAAGTAAGTACAAAGTAAAATCTTTATTAACGTGTCAATGTATTTAGTTTTCACAACTAATTGGGGACACAAAAACTAAAATTGTTTACCAATAAGAAATAATAATAATAATGTATATACAATTAAAATATGTAGCATGTATAACTTTTACAATAAAACAATAGGTATATAAAAAGTAGTCTCTAAGAATTGCAAAGGTTACTGCAGCTATTGTTGTTGTTTAAGACTGACGTTAGGTCTTTTTGGGTCTTAACTTGACTCTAAATCTCTCTAATATTTTCTGAGTTAAAATGATTAAAATGAAAACACGCTTTTTTACCAAACGTCTCATTGAGGACAGCTATTAAATAACGCACTTCTTTCTTTGGGGAATCCAGATATATACATGCTACTTCAGCAGTTGTGTTGACATCAAACTTTCAGCTCATCCCTGTAAAGAAAGTAACTATTGAGGCATTAATTCACATTTTTTAAAATTAAATTAAGATCAAAGCGGTAAATTCAAGAATGCCTTGAATTATGGTGTGAAAAATAGCAAAATGAGCAACATTTGTCATATTAGACATATTTGTTTTTCATGAAGCTGTTAATTATTGGTCAACATATAGAGCTAGTACTCTAAGAAATTGAAGGCAGCTTATTGCAAAATGTGTCTTTTACATATATTGTCCCTAAATTAATTAAGAATTGAGAAAATTAAGGGTTATATAGTGTTGGAATGATTTCTAAACGATTTGCTTGGTAGGAATAACATGTGATCGTGTGAATCCATTAATGGTACATACTTACCACACCTATCCTTATTGTGTGAACTATATATTTCTCTTTTTACCACTTATTATCAAGTCTGCCAATGTTCTTACATTTCGAGTTGGAAATAATAGTTCTGACTTTTATTCTTCAGCCTTCCATTTCTAGGACCCTTAATAACGAAAAGCAAGAATAAAGTAATAAAAACTCTCTACTTACGATTTGCTCAATGTTTTTTCTTCAATTCAATCTTAACATCATCACCAATCAGAACAAATGGAGCCCAGTACCACGGGGCGGAAAAAGCGACGGAGTCTCGAAGACATTTCATGGCCCTCTGAAGAGCAACACTTGCACTTTCTCCACTTCCAAGTTGTTGGTAGAAAGACTTCATAAACATCATTTTGGCTTTGTCATCAACTCCCCAGAGTGTCGCCAGCACGGAACGAGCACCAGCAAACAAGAAAGCACGTGCCATACCGACCACACCCTCAGACGATACCTCTCCTTGACCACTGTGGCTGTAACTAAGCACAACAAGCCTCGCTCTCAGCCTAACAGCTTGTATATCAGACATTTTCATAATCCAGTCCTCCTCTGTAGAAGGCTTGGATTCCCATCGGGGATCTGGAGCCAAAAATATTTCGCCAATTTCCTTTCTTCTGTGGGCTGCAATGTGCACCAAAGCAACTGACGCGATTCTCTGAAGTACCGCTTCTTTGGTTGCATCTTCACCTGTTAAAGGTTGGCTCCCTAGAATTTTTCCAATCATCTCAACTTCCATTCTTGCGTACTTCAGAGGATCATAAATGGGGTTCCCCAGTTTATCTGTAATTTTATTCAAGCATGGATCTCCAACAAGCAGGGCTCCACTTTTACTGTGATATTCACGTGGAGAATCTGTGATGACTTTCAAACTTGTCAGTGAGGGAACAGTCCGGATCCTTAAAGTTTCACTCAGGGCTGCCCAAGGAGCTTTAGACAAAGCGCCATCAGGAACTACAATTAGTTCATCACCGTGAAACAAGTCTTCAATGGGACCGAGAACTGCATCATATAATGCCTGTAATTCGCAACGATTTTCGCACCTAATACCGACGCCAGCCCTGTCTAAAAGGAGAGTAAAGGAATCTTCTATCTTCGCTTGCCTAAAAATGGGGTTGCCCTCTTTTCCCAACACCCAGATATTGACTGTTTTCTCTTCCAGGGCAAGAAAAACTGTTAAAACAGTTGTCTTCCTTGAATTATATCTGACTTCTTCTTCAGATTCAATTGACCTGGGAGAAAGTGATGTAAGGCCATAAGTTACTTCTAAGGCATCAAGCAAAGCCTGTGCGCGTCCCCTCTCAGCAGCGTATAAAGCATCATCATTCCTTTCAAGCATTACTAAAACTTGCCATAAATGAGTATAGGCACATCTATGAAGCGTGCGAAAACTTATTTTCAATTGATCTTCCGAGATAGAATTGGCTCTAATAGTGTCATAGATTTTAACACCGCATCTAAAATGTTTTAAAGCCTCATTCAAAGAATGTGATTGTAAAAAAGAGTGACCCAGATCTGTATGTGCGCATGCTTCTGACATCCTTTCACCGATTTCCTCGGCCATGCTCAGGTGTTTCTTGTAACACTCTATTGCTTCCTTCAAGTCGTGGAGTTTTCTATAACAATTTCCGAGGCGACAATAGGCTTGTCCTTGTACAAAACTGTCACCGATTTCCTCGGCATTCCTCAGGCCTTGCTTGTAGTACTCCATTGCTCGTGGCACGTCGCCGAGGGAGTCATGAACGAGGCCGATGTGTAAATAGGCACTTCCTTTTCCTTCTCTGTCACCGACTTCCTCGGCAATGCTCAGGTGTTTCTTGTGGCACTCCATTGCTCTTTGCAATTCCTCAAGGCTGTGATAACTAGCGCCGAGATCGGAATAGGCGTCGCCTTCCAATGCCCTGTTACCAACTTCCTTGGCAATGTTGAGGCATTTATTGGTGTACTCTATTGCTCGTTGGTCTTCGCCGAGATGGTGATAAGTATAGCCGAGAAAGCGATAGCATTGCCCTTTCCTTTCCCTGTTTCCAACTTCCGTAGCAGTGATGAGGCATTTATTGGTGTACTCTATTGCTCTTTGGAATTCTTTAAGGTTAACATAAGTAACGCCGAGATCGAAATAGGCTTTGCCTTCCCCTGCCCAGTCACCAACTTCCGTGGCAATGATGAGGCATTTATTGGTGTAACCTATTGCTTTTTGGAATTCTTTAAGGCTGCGATAACTATCGCCGAGAATGTCATAGGCTTTGCCTTCCAATGCCCTGTCACCAACTTCCTTGACAATGACGAGGCAGTTATTGGTGTACTCTATTGCTCTTTGGAATTCTTTAAGGCTGAGATAAGAAGCGCCGAGAATGGCATAGGCTTTGCCTTCCAATGCCCTGTCACTAACTTCCTTGGCAATGCTGAGGAATTTATTGGTGTACCCTATTGCTCTATGGAATTCTTTAAGGCTGAGGTAAGCAAGCCCGAGACTGCCATAGGCTTTGCCTTGACATGTCCTGTCGCCAACTTCCTTGGCAATGCTGAGGTGTTGATTGTTGTACTCTATTGCTCGTTGAAATTCTTTAAGGTGGCGATAAGTATCGCCGAGATTACCATAGGCACATCCTTCACCTGCTCTGTCACCAAGTTCCTTGGCAATCCTGAGGTCTTGATTGTGGTACTCTATTCCTCGTTGGTAGTCACCCAGGAATCCATAAGCACAGCCGAGCTTGTGATAGGCACGTCTTGCACCTGCTCTATCACCGACTTCCTCAGCAATGCTCAGGTATTGCTTGAGGTACTCTATTTGTTGATGGAAGTCACTAGCTAAGTAATAAGCTTCGGCTAGATTGTAGTAGGCACGTGCTTCCTCCGCTGTGTTTTTATTGATTTGCGCTATTGTAAGACGCTTTTTTTGTTCAGCTATAGTTTGTGGTATTCTTTCTGCCATTTCGAACTTTTAGTATTCGAAGTGGAACTGTTTCTTGGGCGTAAGGTTTCTTTAAAGGAGCTTGGAGGTGCAAAAAAAGCAAAATAATTGTCATTAGTACATTTGAAGTCTTTTACAAAATTTTGTCTCCTTTAGACAGATAAGACATGATAGAACTTTCCACTCCTTTCTCCCTGGGTTTACCCTATCTGACGCACCTCCGGAGTTTTTTTGTTGTTGTCAATTTCTGGATATTGGTGTATATATTTAAGCAATAGACCAACATCCCGCGTGGGTTATCACGCTAGTAAACCCATAGAAAGTGTGGTCTATTGCTTTTATAAAATAGCCTTAAAGCATGTTTTAATTTTCTATGAGTTTACCGGCACAATAAACCATGGGTACTTAACTAATCAGATCACGCGTTTTATCTTAGTGATTTTATAAAACACAATATTTCATGCAGATTCCCTTAAAACGTCTTTCTATAAATTTGGCTGAAAATAAAAAATCGCTTTGTACCCTACCTAAATATTCAGAAAATAGGAAAGGTTTCATTAAGTACAAAAACTAATCATTTTTGAAACTCCCGTGATACGAAATGAAAATATAGTTGAGAGCTTCTGCCTGAGAAAGTGTGGTAGGCTTGGAAATAGGTGTTGGTCGGTTTTGGTCAATTTGGGTACAATTATTTACTATGGAGATTTCCACATTATGCCAATGTTTTAGCTCGATTGACCCTGTTTTGGTCTGAGGTATAGATCAGCCTTTTGGGGCCGGGGTTCTCTGAGGTCGATTTTTAGTTTTGAATAATTCACCTTTAATGTATGGATGGGAACATTTTGAGCCAAATCAAGAGTCATTTCTTATTGCCGTAAAGTTCTCATAGTAGCAACCCCTCGGAAGTAACGTCAAAAGTTTCTTACTTCTAATAAATCCCGAAAATATCAAACCCCCGAGAGTAACGAGTCCCAAAAAGCGTTAACCATTATAGCCTGCAAAAACATCCGTTTCTCCTCGCCCTTCGACTCACCGCTGGGGACGTTTCGCGAGGAGGAACCGAAACGTCCCCAGCGGCGAAGAGCGAGGAGAAACGGATGTTTTCGCAGGCTATAACCATTACATTGAATTACGTTCTTAACAAACCGAATGCCTTTATTGTTTTCCAATTGCAACCCATAGTCAAATTTTTAATGTATAATACTAATATCAATGAAGCACTTTGTAAAAAGGGTAACTGGCATGCCTGAAACCATGTTTGTCATGGACTAAAAGCACTGAGTTTGTCTTTCCTCCCCTGAGTCAGAGAAGAATTCGATTTCCTCCAAGAGACTATAAAGGGGACAGAGAGGGCATCCCCCATGTACACCCTATTCCATAGGTAATTCGTCTCGAGTTATTTTTAACACCACAGATCTCAAGGGGGATTAGACAACAGCCAATCACATAGCGCGAATGTGTTCAGCGTGGATGACCCACGCTGAGAGTCACGCGTCCTTCACGAAATGACGCAGAACAAAATGGGGGAAGACGCGGAGAGCGATTTTGCAATTCCTTTTGTCGACGAAAACGACTACAGCGAGATTTCTGCGAAAGCTGTGTCAGCGAAACCGAAATTAAAAAAGAATCGCCCTTCCTCTCTTGTATAGAGCTAACAGTAGAGCAGGGAAATCCTTAACACACTGAATATTCTCGCAGGATCATTTATAATTTACAGTTTGAAGAGAGCAATTTCTGGTTTGATGTTTATTTTTTTCAGTCTTTATAGCGATTATTCCTACCCACTTACTTTGTCAATTGTAGGCGAACCCTCCTAAAGCTGAATTTCAAGGGACCATATTCAAGCTCAGAAAGAGAAATAAAATTTCGTCGTTGCTTATTTACGTCCTCCATAAAACGCGAAATTAGGCATTTTCACGTCGTAGTCGTTCAAAAACGTGAAAGAAATGAACAAAAAAGTGTGTTGCACGTGCGAAGTTGTTGTTTTGCTAATTAAACCTATTGTTTTTTTGATGTTCTAGTTGTCGTCCGCGTCGTTGGATCTTAAACTCCCTAAATTGTACAAACGACCGGTTTCAATAGACCGGCGAAATTTCTCATTTTATTAAAGCACTGAGGTTACGACAACTTCGAGTTAAACTGATTTCACGGGTTGTCAAAGAGTCCAGCGATTCCTTTTTCCCAGGTGAACGCCGACTCATTTCGCTTCAATATTCAGGAATGCTCTCGATCTTTTTACGCTTTCATTGCCTCTCGCCCGACATGTTTTGCACGGCGTTTGGTCATGCGAAACCTCCAAGAAACATCCACGCCTCGCGCGAGGTAACTTTATCCCGATTCTAAAAATAACTCGAGACGAATTACCTATGGAATAGGGTGTATATGGGGGATGCCCTCTCTGTCCCCTTTATAGTCTCTTGATTTCCTCTACATCGGCTAATTCACCCATTCGGTAGTCCGGTAGACCATCGATGTTTATTCCACTGTCCCTGCAATACCGAATTTCTCAAAGGAACGGATAACCGTGTCTTTCAGCCGACGAGAGGTCTCTTGTCATGCCCTTGCAAGCTAGTACAACTCGTCCCGACAAGTGACAGCACAATATGGGTTATTCAGTATCCAGAGACCACAAATGTGGTGGAGAAAAACATGAAACTGGACAAATGAATTCCTTTTCATTTGCTAACTATAATCATTGCTCTCGTCTTTTACCAGACTATTGCTGTGTTTAGCACGTAGGTACTATCTCTGTTACACATATCATGTAACACAAATAAAATATTGTTTTTTTTTTTTTTTATTTTATGTTGTTTATTTTTCATATCGAGAAAGGGCTAGCGCCAACTTTGTTTCATAGTTTTTGGTCCCCGAAAATAATGACCCCCCGAAAGTAACGAGCCCTAAAGGCTGCTAATTCGGAAAGTAGCGAGGGTCGCTACTATGGAAACTTTACGGTAGCTCTATCCCTAACGTTTTTATAGTAGAATATGTAGCTCAAAGGAATATTTCCATCGTTTGTGGCTTTATTGTTTAGTTTCATGCTCGTGTATGAAACAGAGAAACCGCAAAAATCCCAAAGTTAGTCCAATTAACTTCGGTTTCCACTTTTGAAACTATTAAATTCTTACATGAGTAGAAAGTATAGACCTTTTTATCTAAACATCAAGAGGAAAATACTAAGGTTACAAGGCTTTCTCACTGTGCAGCCGTGCTTTGATGATTCTACTATAGCCACAAGAGTACTCGCCCCATCTAGTTTACATAAAATGTTTCAGCCCAAATAGCCTGTGTTATAGGCACCCTCCCGTCAGAAAAAAAAAAAAAAAACTGGTTTTTCTGAGGGGATGGGGCGGTTGTAGACAGGTTAAGTCCAGAGAAATTGGGCTAGGTCTAATCCTCAAAAATGTGTCCGCTGCCCGGCGACAATAACATTACATGCAAATTTCAGAGGCATAAACTGGCAAACCACAACAAATTTTAAATTGTTTGCCATACATAGGGCAGAAATACAAGCAATTTAATTTGTAAAAAGTAATTTTCCTGAAATACTTTGTGGCATTATGATTTACATAGTCCCAATGCACATTTAAAAATTTAAAAGGTAGCTGTTTGAATGAAAATGTTGCTTGTGTGAGGAGGGATAGGGGTGGGGTGGGGGAAGGGGGTATAAAGGAAGTTGAAGAGAGAAGCAGACAAGGGAGAAGGGAGAGAAACACAAATCGGCTAAAACAATATTCTAGTCAGACGTTTTGCTTAACATCGAACAAACATACTTTGCTTCGCGGTCGCAAACAGGTCTATACTTGTTATTAATTATTTCTAAGCAAAAAAGAGAGGAGGAAAAACTACAGCAGGGAATCAAAATAAACCTTGCAGAAATATCTGATTAGAAAAATTCCAATTTAAGGGAGATTATTTCTTACCTGGACGATTTGATCTCTGTGAAGAAATTTTCAACGGAGTTTTGAAGTGTTCTCCAGTGGTTGGATTTAAATGCAGAGGACTTTCAAATATATAGGGTGGCCGACAGAAACAGAAAAACCACAAGACATCAACAATAACAAAAATAGCAGAGGACAAGCCAGAAAAACAAACAAAACAGAAACACATAAGACAAAACGGAAACCCAAAACAGAAAAACACCACCAGAAAACAGAAACACAAATCCCAAAGCGGAAGTAAGCATCCCCAAGAGGAAACACATTCCAAAAAATACAAAATTAAACCGCAAAACTGAAACAGAATCCAAAAATACAAACCATAGCCACAAAAGACGAAAACAAAAACTAGTAAATAGTATAAAACTATACAGTTTTTCATGTTTCAAGGTTTTTTTTTTTTTTAAACAGGCGTTTTACGTTTTTTTTTAGGGATAACATGATCGCAGGTTATTATTATCTAGGAACATTAAACTGTTAATCAATGTCGTTCCCAGGCTATCTCTTCTCCCGTCGCCTCTCGCTCCAGGTGACCGGTATTTTCGTCTCTGAGGTCTCCGGTCAATTTTAGCCCGCCGGGGTGTTCAAGCGAGGACCGTAAAGCAAAACCACGTGGGGTCCGTTCCTCGATCGTCTTGGTACCTTTTCTAGTCCAAAGTAGACAGCCTAACGTGACACATGATTACTAACGTATGGCGTTAAAATACAGAGATTGACTCTGACTGAACGTCGATCAGTTGCTCGAGATTTAATACGCCCGACATTAGGGAGGCGACAGTAGCGAAATGTCATTTATAAAGCTATTTGGCGTACTTTAAAAATTTGTGGGGGTTAACTTAATTGGCTAACTTGGTCAAATTTAAGTGATTTTTCCGTGGAACTGAATTTTTAGGGAGCATTGACATCAAAGTGTAAATAGAGAAAAATAAATGTGTCTTTGGGTGCTTTTGTCCTCTGTATAACGCAGTGACGGCGAATAAATTTATAAAAACGTGCGATGCACGGCAGAGTTATTGTTCTGTTTATTGAACCGATATCAAGAAAACATGCGAACGAGGCCCCGTTCACATAGAGAAAAATTTC